GTCGTCTATAAAATGGTGCCTATGTGCGTACGTGATCATCTAGTTTCTTATGCGTCGTATGACTTACGACAACTGCATGGAACAGCATGTGCAGTAGAAATTGGCCGATGTTCCAACTTATGTTCTGTCGTACAAAATGTTAAACCTGTGAAATGTTTTTTCCTTCATGTGGTAGCCATAAAAGTCCAAATTAATTTGAATGTCAAATGATGTCTTACAGACAAAATCTTTGTGAAGCATTCGCTGCGCTCTGTATTGGAACTTTTTGTCGCAGCTCCACGTTTTTTTCTTTGCATGCTGATTGATGGTTAGTAAGAACATTCTCAATGAGTCAAGGTTTACTCTTTCCCACAGCAGGGTTTACTATAAACCCTCTGTTGTAGCTTTAGCTAGTTTCTTACAGAACCTACGTGCACCTTCAACAGAAACCTTTATAAAATGAACCTGTAAAATCAGGTCTTCTACAGAATCTATAATTTACTCGTTATTTCAAATTGCATTCGCACACAACCACACAAAATTAGGAAGGAGGCGCAATTACAACCCAGTGTCTCTTGCTTCACTACAAACTTGCAATGCATATTTTGGCACTCTTGCCCTGTCTGCATTGAGACATCAAGCGATAGAAGCGCTCCACTATAATGAATGAATGGTAAGCAGAAGAGCATTCAATGTGAGCATAGCCACTGATTACACAGTAACTACAGTGGCAAGGAGTAGAATGGTCACTCTGTTGTGCTGTAAGCAAAACATGACTGTTATAAAACTGTTGCTGATCATTCTAAAATGGTCCTGTTGGGCAATGTATCAGTCAGGTGACAATAAGGGAAGGTCCTTCAGAGAAACAGTTTTTAGCAAACTTGTGTGTTAAGAACCAAAACTCAAGGTGCACAATCCTAAGTCTATAGAAGCATCTTTGAAGGCAGAAAAATTATACCACAATCAGATAGGTGTGTTTGCTGACACGCTCACAAGTTTTTGCATGCTAAGAATGTTGCGTGAGAGAGTTTGACCCTAAACAGCATATCTGCTGAGTTGAGCTGACTAGCGCTGTGTAGATACACGCAGCGACCATCTATCGTTAAAATAGGCATACCTCATTGACCAGGGATAATTTTCAGGCACTGCATATGTTTTCTTGGGTCAGAGTCCTTTTCACTAAAGGCTGACTTTATGGTTATTATAATCATTTACAATATACGAAGATAAGCATTAGTCATATTGCGGAGAGTCATGGAGAGTGGCTTGTCATCTTGCGAGGATAGTTATGAGGAAGAACCATCACCTGTGAGTTTTTTTGATAGGAATAACCTGTGTGTTTTTGGGAAATATAGCTGAGTCAAACGGTATCCACCATACAATGAACATTAAAAAAGTAAGTTACTATAGTAGAACCATTGGAAAAGGGCTTTTGAATGTTTGTTGCACAATCTCCGTCTATGTGAGGTGCCTTTGAGAGAGGGATGCCAGATTGCCTGCAAATCCGATAACCGTCCCTGGCACATTTATGGTTACAACACTTACTGATGATATGCCTTGTAACACATAGGAGCAGTTGTGTCGCAGCAGGAATATAGGAAAAGAGGCTTGGTAACAGACTGCTTGTGTTTATTTCAGTTAGCGAGCTAAAATATGATTTTCTAGGTTTTGCGTGGCAGAATCTGTTCAGGAGTCAGTGTATTCACGTGTAAACCAAGCATTGCAGTGCCCCTTTTGCCCTTTTTATCTGGACTCAACACGCTTATTTACCCTTGGCGCGCACGCGCAGCGAGGGTTGGTTTGTCTGTCCGTCCGTCTGTGTGTCGATGCTTATACAGGCTACGACGCGGCCTATTAGCGATACCAGCGGCTTCAGAACTACGCGAGCCTGAAAAATAAAAGGGAAATTTTCCTTAAACAACTGCGTTCGAGAGATATGCCGTGAAACGGCTGGGCTCACCGCGGCCTGATCCGCTCGCTCCTGTGTATATACCTTGGGGGCTCAGGAAGTCACAACGAATGGCATGTATCGACTCCCGCATGCTATCTATTACTGTAGCTAGCTGTGTCAGACTCTCCGCGAGCTACTAGCGGGAGACCGCGAGTAAACGCGTACAAATAGCCCAGCCCATCAATTAGCAGTATCGCGCATGCGCAGTTCCCCGAGGGTTTGCACTTCAGTGCTTTTCAGAAAAAGTTAAAAACACCAGCGAACTTTGAGTTCCACAGACTCTATGTACTGCGCACACACAATAATGTTGCAACAATGCAAATGAACATCCATTTTTTTATGTTTAATCATAACTGACCGCCCTGTGTACGTTGCTGTTTTACTGTAGTGCTAAGATTACATTTGATTGCGTATACATGTATGTGTGGCATCACATGGTCTAATATCTTCATGTCTGTTTACTTTAGTGTTTTACCCCCTTATTTATAGACAATTCAGAAATGGTTTAGTGAGTCTAATGACCATCAAAAGAACAAGATGCTTCTTAACTTGCTGGTATCTATTGAGTAACTGTCAATGTGTTTGAATTAAGAATATGGGGATGGTATGAAAAGCAAAAAGGCAAGACAGGGATGCATGAGATGCAGTAGTACAATGGGTAATCCTGGAATGTTTTCTCTGTACAAGCCCTATAATTGTCGCCACTCTTATTCATGACATTAGTTTGTTTAGTGAATGATGTAGTGTGAGGACTGGCAAAGGGATTCTAGAGGGCTGAGAATGCAGCGTTGGAAAACTGTTTAGTGGAGCAAATATGAACTATGTAGTCACAACTCAATAACCAGAAGCAGTCAGAGAGGGAAGCAGCTGTGGAATACTTGTCTCAAGTGCTTAGGAAATGAGTCATAGCTGCACATTATGGGTAGCAGCAAACAATGTCAGTTTGAAACATGGAGCCATTATCCATTGTACTACTGCATCACATTCACTAGGTCATCCCTGTCTTGTCTCCTTGCTTGTTATACCATCCCTTTATTAAATAAATAGTACGCTTATGAACCACGTCTCAAAAATCTTAGAATATTGCTGTAAAATCAGGTTTGCCACTCATAGCAGCTTTTATGCTAGCACATACTGTAGAAGGACGAGGAATCCACTGCACATTATTGGTGTGGAACCGGAACCTTATCACTCGTGCACTGTTCTCTCAAATGTATGCATTAGCAATGTAGATCTACAAGTGACGCCTCAAACTAAGCCATGAACTTAACACGTACGCCCATGCTCTTGTGGTGGAAATTAAGAGTTGTGTGTGTATACGGATACATCAAATGAGAAAATGTGGGGTTTTAATGTTCTTTTTTTCCCACTGTGCACTACTGACACAATGAAAAGCACTAAAGTGCAAACCCTCGGCGAACTGCGCATGCGCAGTACCACTAATTGATGGGCTGGGCTGCCTTTAATCGTAGTCTCCCGCTAGTAGCTCGCGGAGAGTCTGACACTGGCCAGTATATAGCATGCGAGTGTCGATACACGCCCTCCGTTGTGACTTCTTGTGCCATCAAGATACACAGAGCGAGCGGACGCGGTCGAGGTAAGCCTGTGCTAATTTGCATATTGGCTTGTTCAGTTGCTTTTCACGCCATAACTTTTAAACGCAGTAGTTATACGAAAATCGCCTGTTTTAAAATGATGCCAGTTTAGCGATGAACCCGTTGGTATCGCTGTTTTGTTGTCTCGTTGCGCGTAGTCGCAGAAAGCGTGGTAACAGACAGACGGAAGGACAGACGGACAGACACACTTACAAAACCGTAACCCTCGCTGCGCATGCGTGCCGAGGGTTAGCTACCATGGAGTGCAACCACTGAAGTGCATACGTTTGGTGTATGGCATGATAGTGATTTGATAGAATTATTAACACTTAGGGAGAAATGTAGCTCTTTCTTCACTCTTGCTGGTTAGCAAGGGGGACCACACACAGTAGGCTCACTCCTCCTTTCTAATTAGGCACTTTTTTTGTATATCACTCTACAGGACCAATGTAACTGTGCTCAGTTGCACCTGTTATCAATACATATGGAACCAAATCTCCATGGTCTGTGTCCTCTGAATTGTCAAGATCTACTATCCTGGCTTCCTTCAAATCTAGCATTTTTTATACTTTCATTTTTAGATCCAGGTAACTTATTGTGTTATTGGGACACTTTCTGTTTCAACTGTTGTTTAAATCGTCTTCAGTGCTGTTTATACCAAGTACTTACGTGTAATTTCCTCTAAGGAATACTGCACCTGCAGTTTAAGTGTATGTACAATGTATTAATAGTTGAATGTTGGGTTCATGGCTATGTGTTAATTTATTCAGAGGTTACAATTGTTCCTTGATTTCATGTGTGACTTTCACCAATGTGCACAAGAGTGCCTGTGCTTGGGGCATTCTTTTCTAAGGGCAGTTTTACCCTTAAATATCATGACCTTAAACTGTGCAGTAAGCCATTCTATTATGCAGTACCTCATGTAAAAGTTGCAGTGTTCTTGTGCAGATGTAGTGGGGACAATTCCCACTTGTTCAAAGCTCAACAACAATGAGCCGCCTACCAACACATAATTTACAAGTAAATTTGAAAATGTTGTGAATTTAAAAAAAGTAAATGTTAAGGATGGATGGTATAAGGGAGAAAAGATAGGGATAGGATCCACGAAGCATGGTTAACGAACAGATTTGAGTACAGAATCCATAATTGTTGCCTAGTGTGCTACCAATTTGGACTCAACAACAGTGTTGGTTACTCAGTAGCATGCCCCAATTTATCAAGCTATAGGCCCTAACACAAAATGTTAGTAATTCACCCTGGCAACTATGGGTGTCAACATGCTCAAAATGCCTCAATACATACGTCAGTAGCCCATCCTATCTTGTCTCCTTTCTATATGCCCAATTAAAGTCCTGCGATTTAAAAAAAAGAGCATATAGCATGGTTATAAAAAGAAAGGGAGCAAGATAGGATGGGATACATGAGCATGGTTATTGACAGATTTGAGTACGTGACACCCCCCAACCCATCACACAATCCCTACTATTGTGCCTGATGTGCTACTCTTATAGGGCTGAAGGTTTACTAAAAGCAAGCATTCTTTCACCGTGTCCTGTTGTTTTTAGTAACATTTATACTGCCACATTCCCTTTAAAAAAATTGGAAAATGCACAGCGAAAGATGTGACTCACTTGGTAGCATGCTTACTTTGTCTGCAGCCTTTCACAGAAGGCTGTGTAGAGGTCGGTCTTCCTCAACTTTGCTTACATGCAACCCTTCTCTAGCGACGGCGCATCTCCTCCGAGGGTTTGCACTTTAGTGCTTTTCATTTACAAACATGAAGTCATATGAAAATATACATGTGCACCAAAGTTTAATCTCCACGTGTGCTACCACCAGCCAATCCTCAGGAATGAGCTAAACTTTTTGTACTTTTCACTAGGATGTGGAGAGAAAGACAGTTTGAGGAGCGAAGAAGTAGTTTTAAAGAAAAATGCCTGTGGCTCTTAATAAATGTACATCATGGAACGATTGTTGTAAAACGCTGTATGTACCCAAGAGTCATCTCATGCATGTGACCGTTAGCGAATTTGGGGGTAAAGAGGTATTAATGAAGAGTGTCTGAGGCTCCCAGTAGTGGTTGTGATGAAAACATTTTATTATGCATGTGTACAAAGTTTCATCTCCATTGTGATACTGTTAGAAGTGATTCACAGAAAAGCGCCTGAGCGCTCTTTGTTGTCTGTTCAAAACCGTACTATGTGAAAGTCGTCATGGAAACATGAGTACTCGTAACGAGACGGTAGACAGGACAAGGCAAAGAGTAAACTAATCACCTACACCGAGCGACAAGCTCTTGCTATTTTCAAACGAACAAAGAGAGACTGCGCGTCGCGTAGGGATTCGAACCCACGACACTCGCAGTGTAGGCGATGCGCGCTCTACCAACAGAGCCGACCAGGGCAACTCAGCTGACGTAGGAGCTCCACACCCAAACACAACACAAGGCAACACTCCAACCGCTGCGACTCATGGCACCAGTATACTACTCATTCAGTACTGATACACAATGTTTCATCTTCATGTGCTTGCTACCTTTAAGGGTGAAGTGCTGGCTTAATTAATTATTCATAAAACACAAACCGTCGCTGCGTGTATATAGACACAGCGTACCAGCAAGACATTCTCGGCGTTATTTAACAAAACAGACACAGTTCTTCCACTCTATCAGCAGTTGCAAACATAAAACGTTTGAGATACTGCGTGTCAAACCACACTACACAAACATTATAATGTGAGTCAATTCCCGTGCCAATGCAGTTTTATGACGTATCAAAAGTACCACCTACTCTTAGTATTTTAACCTTTTAAGAGCCCAAGTGCCTTTTTTCCTAACTTAGATTTCTCACAACAGGCGCCTTTTTCTCACACAAGCCACGGAAGTATGTAGCCATCGATCCACGAGCTTCACGTGTCCGTGTCTCGCAAGTGCTTCGTACTTTGGAAAATATTTCACCCTCTGTTAAAACGGAGCACGTTTTTTATACGGTATAAAAAAGAGTACAGAACGAGAAAACTGCAGAATGCAGAGCTAAGGGTAGCGTGCACTCCACCAGTTTCAAACCGCAATGGTACTGAACATGTGCAAGTTAATTGCATTGTTACCTACGTGGGCGAAACACTTCACCGTCCCTTAACAAGTTTGAGGAGCGAAAAAGAAATAGTGCCTGAGGCTATTTGTTGTTTTTGAAAGAATGCACGGTCATCATTGAAAGGATGTAATACGCATGTGACCAAGTTTCACTTCCATGCCTGCTACTGTTAACAACAAGTTTGAGGAGTGAAGAAGGAATTTAAAGAAAATTGCCTAAGGCCATTTGTTTTTGTTTAAAGAGATGTAGGTAAACATGTAGTCGTCATGGATATTATGTTACACGCATGCATACCAAGTTTTATGACAATGCGTTGTACCATTGGCAAGTTGGAAGACTGAAGAATTAAAATTGCCTGAGGCTATTTGTTGTTGTTCACAACCACTAGGCTACAAAATGCCTGTTATCTCTCTTAAAACACCCTTTAAAATTTAAACATTGTCCACGCACCAGGTGGTAATTATTTTACTGTTTTTGTGCTTACTTTTACTCTTCGTTACAGTAAGTTTATGCCGAGCATCACAAGTATGTCGCATTTGGTATCACATGGCTAATGACTGCAGATTATGGATGAAATTTTGCAGGTATAATAATTATACTACCAATGTTGTAATGTTTAACAGTGAACACAATGCTAGTCAATTTAGCATTTTGTAGATTATTAACCGTCTGTTTGCACGCATAGGAAGAAATACAGTTTCTTTGCTTCCGCTATACTGTCCATTGGTTTATGTTAACATGTTTTCTGCCCCATGCACAATGAAAAGCTCTAAAGTGCAAACCCTCGGCAAACTGCACATGCGCGGTACCGCTAATGGGCCGGGGGGCTATAAGGTGTTTACTCGTCTCCGCTGGTAGCTCGCGGAGAGTCTGACAGGGGCTAGCTACAGTAGTAGATAGCTTGCGTGAGTCAATACACGCCCTTCGTTGTGACTTATACACAGAGTGAGCGGACCCTTTCAAGGTATGTTTGTGCTAATTAGCATATTGGCTTGTTGACTTGGTTTTCACGCCATAACTCTCGAACACAGCACGTTTACAAAAATCGCTATTTTAAAAATGAAACCAGTGTAGCGCTGAACCCGTTTGCCTGTTTGTTGCGCGTTGTGGCAGAAAACGAGGTAACAGACGGACGGACGAACAGACCAAGCACTGTAACCCTCGCTGCGCATGCGCGGCCGAGGGTTAACAAGCCTGGAAAACATACCATACTAAAGGGTTCAGCGGCTTGATTTTTTAAAACAGTATATACATACGCACTAAGGGAAACAATATGGCCCAGTGACTGTTTTCAATAGCCCTTATGTACTGCCACAAATTTCATAACTTGCAGTGTGGGAACCAAGTGAACAGGCCAATATAATATATCTGTTTGAATGCTTACTGGGTAATCCAGTCTACAACCGCCTAGCAAGGTTAGGTAAAGGTTTGGCATTAATGCTGGGCATAGACATTGTCCCTCACGATGGGTGTGTTTTCGAGGAGGGAGAATTATGACCTTCTACCAGCATGTGCTTGGTAGTTGATCGAAATAACCGAAACCTACCCATTGCATGTCAGCCTTTGCTGCGTTTTAGTGATCAGAATGCAGAATTTTTTGTGTATATGTATGGGTACTGCCACATACTGTAACATTATACATCATCCTACATATGTGTGAAATGTGTTAAAAATCGTACTGCTCTTATCATGCGTTACATCCCTCATATTATTATATTGCTCGTTCAAGCTCTCTTGTAAGTTTCAGTTCTGTGTGCAAGGTTGGTCCATACCAGGTGTGTATGTAATGATTTTATTACTCGTTGGGAATAAGGCTAGGTTATTCACCGGTGGTAATATTAACCCTCCATCCCTTGTTTTCGAGGCCAGGGCACCCATAAAGTCCTAGCTGCATTGCTGTTAACCTGCGTATATGTATAATTATGTAAGTTTTTCTCTACTTGTCTCCGGCTGCTCTTTTCCTTTCTACATTCCATATGACTTTGTTCATACGTGTATTTCAGGTTTTGATACTATGTTTGTTGTGCATCTCTACATAATGTTGCCGCCATCATGCACTAGCTCGCACATGTGTTGCTGGTCCTACATGAGTAAGCCTGTGTGAAGTCCTATTGAAGCCTTCCATGTCATCCTTTCCTCCATATAGTGCTAGCTGTTGGTTTCAGTATGAGTTGCATGTTTACAATGATAAATTCACTGCAGTGAATAGTTGTTACAAGGAGTGATAAAATATGCTGGGGAACAGATGGTTAGAAAATAAATTCGTTATGCCCATGCTGAAATGTTTCCCCACTGTGTCTCTTCTACAGGCTGCTACTTAAGTAAAGTACTAAAGTACTTGCTTGTAATACTCTAAAGCGGAGTACGGAGACTATTTTAAATAAGCATCTGAAGTAAATTGCAGGCTGTCCATTAAATTTTCGTTGTATATCAAGGCGATAGAAGGAGTGTTTTATAAAATTTTTAGCACTAGGCCAAATATTTCCTTCTAGCAGATCTGGGCATAGATGATGTGTTTCCATAAGCACTGATCAGTTGATTCCAACATAATTTAAAGTGCATGGGTTTTCGTACCTATAGGTTACGTGTATGGCAGCTATCTCAGACAGGAGAAGACAAGCAACGGAACAAGCATGTTTCCGTGGATGGAAGAATAATGGTTAGTTAATGTTACTCTGTCTGTTTCTACATGTACGTATTTACACAAGATGGAGTCTGTCTGCTAGCCTGAATAGATATGTGCTGATAGGTTGCTTATAAGAGGCTGCATATTAGTCTAACCTTTGTGCCTCCAAGTGTAATTTTCCCAACAATGCTCAATAGAATAATAGTTGAAATATGAAGGTCCATACATAATGTATATACGTATATGTGGTTTATAAGAACATCAGTGGTATTAATGCCTGATGATCTTAATCTCCATGCCTATCCTCTAGTAATAGAAGCTAGCCTGTATCAGACTCTCTGCAAGCTATATACTAGCAAGAGACCATGAATTAGTGGATAAGGCATAGCCCAACCCCCAAACCCATATAATATCTTCTGGAGCAGGTTATTCCCACTATCTATAGACAAACAAAATTTTTAGGCATTAATAACGTTCAAACACATAGCCTATAATGTTCTTCAGCTTTGCAGGGTAAAATTGCTTTTATCCAAGTACAATTCAAAAATATGCTGAGATTTGGTTTTACAATAATCCTAAGCTATCCTGACTGTGCTCTACGTACAACAAACCACAACAACTTCTGGCTTGGCTGCTACGCAAATCTGTATCAGAAATATCTTTCTGCCTTTCTCCAATGAAGACTTGTTCTAAGGCATTAAATCTAGCTTTTGTTAATGCAATCCGAATTACTTCTGGATGCATGAACCACATAATGAGCTTTTTAAGAAGCTATGAACCTCCTGCTTTAGAGAATGCAGTGCAGGTGACTGTTGTTGCATCATTTTGTTGAAGATATTTATAACAGGTAAGGCTTTACTCAAGAACATCAGAAAGAATCTAGACAAAGGATTTTCAAGGCTCTCAGTAATTCTTTAAACTGTAGCTAGATTTTTAGATGAACTACGACAAGTACAAAAGTAGTACATTGTACTGTTCAAGCAATCAATCTGTTTATGCAAATTTCAAGACTTGTCTGTCCAGCTTTCAGAAACTTATGTGGCTTTACGTCGTCAAACTGCTGAAATTTCTGATATACCTTTGGTTCTTAGGCTCTTCAAGAAGCACCAAATCTGGAGTGTTAGGTCATCTAAATAATCATGCAACTCTTTACAGGCATGGTTAGCTATCAGCGTGCAACATGACAGTTTCAGTGAAATGATAATTACACCACACTGTTGATAAACACCAATATCTGTCATTTCATCCATTGGATGCTGAAGAATTGTGATCTGTCAGGAGAGACAAAATACTTTGCTTTGCCTAGCCCTAGCCTAGCCCTAGCTCTCGTGCAACAACCCAAATATAGTAGCAAAATATATCTTCAGGCTTCAATGACAGACTGTTCTCCAGTGTGACGCCGTGCAGGACTAAAGTATAGAAGTTAGCAGGGAGAACCATTTTGGCTCTTTTGATTTGCTGATGTACATGAGTCATGTTCGTGCTTTCTGAGATATTTGTCTGCCATACGCTAAGCAAACATCGCAGTTACAGACAGTACACTTAGCATACGTGGACCATAAAATTTGCCAAGGTGAACTTAGGTACCTTGTATACACTCTGACCCTGTCGGTGTGCACATGTCTAACGCGACGTATGTGCATCCACCCCGCGCCCGCGTACAATCTTAAGATGCATGCCTGTAACGTAAATCCGTCCAAGAATTGTACCAAACCCGCGCCTTAGGGACAGAAATAGGGTCGGTGACGTATCGAGTCAGTGTTCTTGGTTGTGCTAACTTGACACGCGAAATGAGATTGCAGTGTTTGCTACAGGTGTTAAATATCAGCATGATGTTACGACAATAGATTGTAAGCAAACTCCGTGGATGCCGTGTGTCCACGAAAGAACACGGGCTTTTGCACGCATGCACTCTTCACAATGATGGGTCAGCACAACCAAGAAAACGCTCATACTATCACCAGACCCTTTTCCTTTCCTGAGGCTGTCCTGGGACAGCCTAAGACAGAGTTGGAAAAATGATAACTTCACAAAGTCTGGGTCTTGCAATAGTCTAGACTACTGCTGACACACAACACCAGGTAACTCCAGAGTCTGTGCACTCTGCCCCGGTGTGAGGAGTAGAGCTTTCACACGAATATATATACAGTAAATACTTCTTCAAACTAAAAAAGGGTGGAATATAGGATGCAATAAAAGTAAGGAGACAAGACGGGATGACTAGGTGAACGTGCATGCAGTAGTACAATGGATGATGGCTTCGCGAAGTACGAGGTGTGCTTCCCTTTATGATGCACTGCTACGATATTTATTTCATAAGCACATTAGACAGGTAATACCATCTGCTCGGTTTTCAGTTGTGACTGCATTTTGTGTGGAGTCTAAGAATTCTACATTTGTTTCAACTAACCAGTTTTACAATGCTGAGTTCTTGGCCCATCTACATATCAGGCAATCCTTTCACCTCCTCGCACTCTTCACTTTGTCTCTCCCACTTACATAAAACAAACAGTAAAGGTGGGCAACAATATAGGGCTTGTGTGGAGGAAATTTTTACACGATATCAGTTCAAAGATATGTAGCCATTCATCCATTGTAACTACTGCATCGTTTTCACTAGGTCATCCCTGTCTGTATCCTTACTTTATGGCATCCTATATTCCACACTGTTTTTAATTCCAGAATTTTATTTACTTGTCTCCTTTTCCTTTCTGCATTCACACTGTATGGTGCGCATAAAAGTTATAGCATAAGCCCATTAAAAAGTACATCAGTGCCCTGACGCTATTGCCTCTGACGTTGTGTTCGACATCACATACATCAGTGCACCACGTTTCATGTGAGAGAACATCAATAAGAGTATAGGAACTGTACACATTTAAAAGTCTTTTTAGCCTGAGGCGGTGGTTGTTGTTACAACATGTGAACCCTCGGACGACGCATGCGCAGCGAGGGTTACTGTCGTAGTCGTTCTGTCGGTACGTCTGTCTGTCGACGCTTATATTCTGGCACTACAGGCTACGAGCGGCCTATTAGCGATACCCGCGCTTCAGAACAACGCGAGCCCGAGGGCGATTTTCCTGCAAATGACTGCGTTCGAGAGAGATGCCAGGAAACTTAGAGACAAAGCCATATGCATAATAGCACTGGCTTACGCGACCCTGATCCGGCTCGCTCCTGTGTACCTTGGGGGCTCAGACAGTCACAACGATGGCAGTATCGACTCCCGCATGCTATCCTAACTACTTAGCTTGCCCGTGTCAGACTCTCCGCTGGCTACGCTGAACGCAGTCGTTCAGGAAATGCCACATCAATATCCATCTCTCGTGTTCACACCCGTTGGTGCCACTCATTGCCGCCTTGTAGCCTGGACGTGCGAGAACTCACTCGACGCGGACAGAACGTATGACCGACGACTACCGTAACCCTCGCTGCGCATCGCACGCCGAGGTATAAGATCAAGGAGCAGCTGTCTTGTTTGTACTGACCAACAGCAGCAGCGGCAGAATTGAACAGCACAAGAGTGTTTGCTGGTGGTGTAGCCCTGGCTCTGCGACAAAAAACTCTAGCACAGACGCAGCCGTACCTATCTAGCTCTTAAGCTGTTCTAGCATGTGTTTTTCAGTCTGACGTTGGCTTGCTTCGTGACATCAAAACCACATACCTGGAAATGAATTTGAAATTTCACAATTATGCATGTTCTAACTATCGGCTACAGTTTGGAAAGGCTTTGTTCCACCAGCCACAGACACCAATATTATTCATGCAGTCCTACCTTCCACCAGTGGCATTGCACACAGATTTTGTGTCTTTACTAAACAGATGCAAAATATCAAAAAACTGTGTATTGACTCATGCGTGTGTTTTGAGCGTTTGTGTGCATAGGCCAAATGTGTTTCCCTGCAAAAGTGAAGCAGAAGTAGTTGTGAAAACAAGCATCTGGAGTACAATGCAGTACGTTTATGCATGCTTATATAGATGTCCTACTTGTTGTGTTGCCGGTGAAAGTTAGGTCCCTAGGGAGAGTTTGCATGCCATAAAATATCTACCATGGCCTAAGCAGACGTGGCATCTGGTGACCTACTATGTTTTTGGGTTGGGGGAGGGGGAGTTGGTGGCGGTTGGTATCATTCTTTTTTCTTCTAGTAGTGAGCTAAGAATGTTTGTCACACAGCTTATCCCAAACAGAATGTTGAGAATCGTCATATTCTGTTGGAGTTAGGAGTCAAATTCAGAGCCTGTGGAAGTTGTACAAGCGCTTGTTAGACCTTTCTCTCCCTTCTGTGCTGCATGTGCAGAGATCTAAAGCGCACAGAAAAGCAGGTGGTTGGAGAGGGGTCCAGTGTGATAGACTAGTGATCAGTACTACTTCTGTGCTCAGTGCATAATAAGTTTAGTGCATTGTGTACACATGTATATTATGTACGGCATTATGTTTAAGACTTCCTTTTTAAGTGCTTCCGCAGTGGAAAGCCATGTTCAGTGAAGGTTTACGGGATTCGAAGGACTGGTGGCTCACAAGGGTTTTTTGTTTGTTGTTTGTACACGTGCGAACCTTTGAGGGCACACACAAGGTGTGTTTTCAATTCTGTACGTTGGTGATTAACATAACTTGGTCAGGGTTCCACGCTGAGTACCTAGAAGTATTGTACCAGCATTTTTACTTAGATTGCAGCATATAAAAACCTTCTTGTTGGGCTTTAACTTTGGGGGGGGGGGGGGGGGGGGGGGGGGTTGGTTTGGGGGATTTGGGTTGGGTGGGGGGGGGGGGGGGTGTTTTGTTTGTGGGGGGTTTGGTTTGTGTTGTGGTTTGTTTTTTGTTTGTGTTTTTGTTATGCTTGTTTTTTTTGTGTTGTTTTTTTTTTTTTTGCTTTTTTTTTTTTTTTTTTTTTTGTTTGTTTTTTTTTTTGGTTGTTTTTTTTTTTTTTATTTTTTTTTTTTTTTCTTTTTTTTGTTTTTTTTTTTTTTTTTTTTTTATTTTTCTATTTTTTCCTTTTTATTGGGGGGGGGGGGGGTGGGGGGGGGGGGGGGGACACTTTTGATAGGCTTTACTTTCTATGGAGTAGTCTATATCGTTAGGAAGTGCACAAACCTGGGCAAACGGCTGTGCCTGAGCACCAATGTCATTTTGTCTGGGCTTGCTCTCTGGGTGATGCGAGCACTAACAGCCCCTGCGCAGAATATGTCAGGGTTAGCAATTGACGGGCAGCCAACGGCATTTCCTTTTACTACAACACCTTTTACACTTGCAGGTATTTCTTGCATTCAGTTCGATGATACGAGGATCGTCAGTGGATCCTGGGATAAAACTATTAAGGTATTAAAGCCTGTATCATTTGGAAGCAAAAAATCATACAACAATGATGCATTCTAGGTGACACTTGACTGCGGTCCTGGGTAAGTAGTATTTACGAATAGTTTGTGGGTGCTGCTCTGTGACGCTTGCGCGGACGCATCAGATCCTTCTGTATTGTCACATGTATAGCAGTTTGAATCTTTGGGGCCAAGCATACATTACTAATACAGAACACTGAACGGCACTAAAGTGCAAACCCTCGTGCACTAGAAACGCGCGTGTGCATGCGAGGTACGGCTAATCGATGGGCTTGGCTCACTCGCGGTCTCTTCAGCTCTCTGCGAGTCCATCGCAGGCAACTTCTTTCCTAGATAGCATGCGGGAGTCGATACTCGCCGAGGGTTAATTACTTAACATTATGCACAGAAAAACGTGAGAACTACTGGCCATAGTAGAACCAGCGCTTGGCAACTGCAGCACTCGGACACCATCCGCTCTGCCGCTGAATATCAAGGTAACACTTTGCTCTTTGAAACCCTTGGAGGAGTGACACCACTGAGGACACAATCTCCAGCATAGGCCACCTCATAGCCAACGTTTTGGGATCTCTCCCCTTGAGTCGTCAGCTATTCCTGAGGCTGACCATCTCCCTCTGGCGAGGGAATGCTTCTGCGTGGATGCCCGTCACCTGATCCAATTCTGGACGGAGTGGTCTGAACCCCTTTGGTATATCTGTGTTTTCTTTTGGTTTGCTGTATTTTTTGCTTAATTTTCTCGTTCTTGCTTGGTGGTTGTAAATAATGTCGAGGTTCAGCAGCATAAACCGTTAACTATATACGCTATTACGTGCATAGTATTGCGCATGATTTGGCCGCAATAAGTGTGCATTAAGTGGTTAATGCACCGATAAAGTAGTTATAACAGGGAGGTACCGGCAGTGAGTATTCCCGAGTGCAGGAATGCAACACAATCAAGGGTTCTAATTGTATTCCTTGCACATAAGGCAATATAACCCGCACTGGCCTGGTGCAACTCCAGTAAAACGGGTTTTAGTGTCAGTTGCATAAAAGTGTTTGGTGGTTCAGCTTTTGAATTTGTGTCCATCATGGCAGACTGGAGCGTTTCTCGAACCCACCATGGCTTGAGTACTACTATGTGTACGACTTCAGCGGGAAGAATTATTAACTTCCGGGGAGGTAAGCCCCGGCTAGAGACGAGCTGTGCAGACCGTTGAGATATTTTCCCAGCACCGCTCGTAGCTGAGCTCGTGGTTGGCTGTGACAACCCGGCTGGAACCACCTACAACTAGCTGATGTCGAGTATACGTGAGCGTAGCAATCCAGTGGCATTTTCGCGGGTAGTGACAACTGCGACACTGACTCCGCTTCAAGCTCTTGGTGTGACTCGCTTGCTGCGCTTCGTGTACTGGGTCACCATGATGTACAGAACTTCAAAACCAGCGTCAGAAGTCTAGATTTCACACAGTAATAGCCAAGACCATTTAGCCCACCGCAGATCTAATACACCCGTTGCCATTGTAGTTAATTGCTAATACACCCGTTACCACAGTTATTAATGAAATGCACTGTAGTGCAAACCCTCGGCGCATTATGCATGCACGGCACCACTAATTGATGGGCTGGGCTATGAGTGTGTGATCTCCATACTAGTTGGTCGCGGAGAGTCTGACACGGGCTAGCAACATTATAAGATAGCATACCGATGCAGGAGTTGATACATGGCCTTCATGGTGACTTCTTGTGCCTCCGCAAGGTACAAAGAGCAAGCGGATTGGTTGGTGCGATTATGCATATCGGCTTTTCTTCTTGTTTTCATATCTCTTGAACGCAGTCGTTTCAGGAAAGTCACCATTTAGTTTTTCAGGTTCGCGAGACGTTGGTATCGCTCATGGGCCGCCTCGTAGCCTGTATTGCGAGAATAGCTGCTGACAGACGGACAGACAGACAGACACACACACAGACCAACTACTGTAACCCTCGCTGCCGATAGTTAATAACTTGACCACAGCACATATGTTAGCATTCCACACAGCTGGCCCCTACGGAACTAATAGGCTTGTCCACCTTTGATCTGAGTACCACCTGGGCTGCAATAACTAATTTAATTCACACTCTTTTAAACAGTGCATCTCAAACTGAGCTGTGCAAGCCTAATGTGTGTGCCGTCGTTGACTCTCCCCGAGCAGCGATGGGACAGGAATGGCAGTTGTTGACAGGGTGGGCGTTTCAACAATTACTGGCCTCAAATCCGATTCGCTGTGGTCACATTTCAATGAGGTGAAGGTGTTTGATGACGAGGGTTAAACTACGCCTTGGGTTGAAGTAAGTGATGGCTACGGACATAGAATTTTAATAAATTGGCTTAATAAAATAGCTGGGCAGAGTATCCAAGCTTGGCATAGTATGATTAGAAGATCGTGTCTGATAGGTTGCTAGATGATACTGTCTTTCCACACTTGCCTTGTGCACCCACTCAGCATATCACCCTTTTCTATTGCAGCTCATTAACCACCCATCGGGTGCATCGACTGCTCCAGCCACAATTCCATGCCCCCACCCATGAAGCAAAACATCCGGGATTCTTCCTTCATCTCAAAAAGCTGCATCTCCCTGAGTTTACATATACCGGGATAAGAACAGAATAAACAGCAGATTCCAACTGGGTCTAGACACAAAAGATACTCAGCTGATGATGATACAAACAACCATGAAGTTACTACCCACACAGCCCATGATTGGGCGCAAATTGACTTGAATGAACTATTACTACAACACAGACTGTCTCCAATTGGGGTGCTTTAACTAACTGCTTTACCTGTTGCCTGTTTACACATCTTGTGCCTTATCCAGCCACGCAAACATTGTCCACACCTACATGGGAAAGACCTCAAGTTGCCCTCCACTCTAGCCAGGTCGTTTCCAGGGGAGTAGAAATGACCACTGTTGACACATTCACACGGAATTCCGTAAAATGTTTGGATAATAGTTCGAAGCACGGTTGTGTCGAGAATGCGGTGTAAGAATCCCGAGTAGTGTATAGTCTTTGCCAACTTTGACATTCACGTCTCCCCGAGCTTATAGGTATAGGTTAACTGTGGGTGGAAGTACCCGAGGCTACTCAGTAGCGCCGAGGGCGTACAGATGAGCACCGAGGGCAGTAGACCCGTATGCTGTCCAAACCTGGGTTAACCTATTTGTAGCCTAGAAACTCAGACAATAGTCTCACGAAGCCAGTCCTGCTGGTTGCACAAGACTACTCCGCCAGATCCCATGTTGCCGCTTCGAAACGCTGTGGCATACACGCGACAGCTAAGTGTCAGCATTTGCACATGCGAGAATTTGCTAGAGCTTGGAAAAACAACTCACCAAGGAAGCAAAAACCCAACCAGTGACAAACCTAGCGTCCTGTAGCTCTCAAGGTTGCCGAGCGCGCTGGTTACCACGAAGCTCTGCTTCTGCCCGCATGTGGAATGCCTACTTGACCAGCGTTTAGATGTTACGTAGTTTGTCACCTTATATCCATTATCTTATATCCTTCCCTGCTGGTCAGTCGTATCCATATCCGACAACCCTCTTCTTGTGGTTGCTTGTGTATAATCACGCGATGCAGGCCACCCTCTCTGCCCACATACTGGGAACAGCTTCTCCATGCACTAAAGCTGATCTCCTCCTCTTTCTTCTCTATGGTATATTGTATTGGTTTGTACAGTACAACAAATGAACATGCCACGACTAAGAACACAGCAAGCAAGCCTGTCTTGGCTAGAGCTGCTGACCTCCTTTACCAGGGCTGACCGCGAGAGGGGGTGTCCCTGCCGGGGCCCGGGTGAGGGTGATGTAGCTGACTAGGGCTGCACCGGACAAATAGTGCCAAGGACGCTTCCAAAGTAAATGTCGGCCCCCAATCTGAAGGGGTCGGTTTTGCTGTTTTATCTTCAGCCGAATGAATGAAGGCCTTGGCATGACTGTCAGATCCGTCACATCTGCCAGACTGAGATGGACTTCGGGTCGTAGTCTTTTGAGATGGGAAACTTGATTTATCTGCTCTCAGAAACCCTGTGCACGCTGCTTGCCCACAGCATTGTCTGGTATCTGGCGATGCGACTGCGGGCCACAACCACACGTCGTAGCGCTTGAGCGTTTGCTCCGTCACTGGATAATGGGTTGTTTTCTAAGGTAGGTCGGCGCAGAATGCAAGATACCGGCGGTTGGCTGACGCATATGAGGCTCTTAGTGGCTGGGGCAACACAACTTCCAAGGTAACTTTGAACTGCTCTATCCACACTGGCGATGTCCATCGAAGCTTTGCTGAGCACCAACTCCTGCAGGGGAGTGGGATGAATGCCTGTTGGGGCTGTGCCTGTGGATGAAGAGAGTGGAATAATGGCATCATGTTCTGTGAGAGGGCGTCTGCTAGGCTGTTTTTCTCTCCTGGGATGTGACGCGCTAAAAAGGTAACACCCTTGACTGCGCAATGTAAAAACAGTAGTCGAAGTAGGCGCATGAGTTGGAAGTCCCTGGCTGTACCTTTGCATACGCTACCGCCATGTTATCTGAGAAGCAGCTTACTCTCTTGCCCCACACTGCAACCGCTGTTACTATCGGGGCCAGCTCTTATGCCGCCCACTGCGCTGCCCATTGGAAGTGGAACCAGTCTGTGCTCCACAGCGCGCCTGTCCCCCATAACCCTGAGGCGTCGTGATGTCGCCCACACTTGGGCGTTGAGATGGTTGTACATGGTGGTCCAGTGACTTGACAGCTGTCGATGCATCAATGAGACTCCTCACAAATGACCACCAAACCTTAGTCACTTTTGCTGCGTGATGTAGCACCCCAATGAGGGAGTGTAGATCTCTCTTCTTTCCAGACCTACGGGTGGAAGAAGCGCATGAGACCTGAGCCTTCATGTCTTTGAGTTTGTCCTCGGGCAAGCGCAGCTGCATTGTGCTCGAGTCAATCTCTATACCGAGGAAGGCCACTGGCACCCCTAGCTCTTGACAGAGGGAGAGGGTCTTCCATTGTGCTTGGTCGCAATGGCTCGACTCTGGGGGGGCCTAGGAGTAGAATATCGTGGAGAAACGGAAGGGCTTTCACTATGCATGATGATGAGGGCGTCTGCCAACGCTAAGAATATATTCGGCGCAGAGCACAGCCCAAATGGGAGGACCGTATCCACGTATAAGGTGTCTCTCCAGCACATGCCCAGCTGCAAGCGATCGTCTGGGTGGACGGGTCCACTCTCCCCTGTTCCATGACAAGCATAACTTCTTGCTGAGAGGGGGTGGCTTCCCTGTGTTGCTCCGCTTCAGCGGGTGGGGGTGTCGTTGACTTGTTTTCGAGTGCGAGTACGGGACGAGTAAGGATTGATTAATGCAGGGAATGACCAAGAAAACTGGACTAGCAAGTGGAGACATGTCAGGGCTTTAGAGCATGATAGCCTTCTGTGCCTTGAAAGACCTTTTTATCTCCCAACCCGAGCAAATCCATGTTCCACGTAGTTCTGCACAAGTATAATGGTGGAGACATGTGTTCCTTTGGCTATTCATCTCGACTGGATTTGGTAAATCGGTTGTTTATCATGGATTGTAGCCTAGAAATCAAAGCTTCCGACAACAGTATATTCGTACTAACCACAACCGCCACCACTGAATATTGCCGATGTGGTTTAATGTTCATTAAACAAGGTTAATGTGGGTAGGCATGAGCTAATTATGCTCAATATTTTCCTATAATTCTATGCTGTAGTGCTCAAGTAATATTTTCTACATATGTACTTACTATGCTCAACATTATGCTTATCCAAATAATACGACAGTGACAGAGTTAAAAAGTGATTATACTGAAGCATGAGTGATGTTTGGATGTGGTCATTGAGTGTTGTATCCTGTCGGGTTAGCACTCTCACTGCGTCTAGTTGACGCCATTTTTGCAAGCACACCTGCGCAGTAGATAAACTACGTAATCCAAGTGAGGTAACTTAGCAATAAAATAGCATATTATGCTCGCATTATGCTTTATGCTTTCGCCTACCTACTATGCCCGTTTTAGTGCTAGCATAATTAGCACAGGCCTAAATGTGGGCCTCACCAGCGCGCGCGCAAAGCCAGGCCAAGCGCAGTGTATGAGTCTGGGTGAGCATGTGCATTAACCAGTTTGAGCACATGCTGGTCTGGACAGTTGGCTGCCTGGGGGCGGGCTCAACGTCAGACGTTTTCCTGTTGTTCTCTCTGCCCATCCACCCTCCCCTCCCGCCTGGCCACCACTAGGAGCACGTGTCGAAGATGAGTGAGTCGGGGTCCCTGGAGGTGACTCAGCGGACGAGATTCGATCCTTAATCCGAGAAGAGCTAGCAGCTGCAGCCGCCTTTACCCCACTCCCACTCTGGTGTGCCCTAAGAGCAAGATGTAAGGCATAATGCGTTATGGCTAGCCCCCTCCGCACCACACCCAATCATGACATGCCCATGCCTTCCGTGTGCGTACGAGTAGACAGGGCGCACCCATGCTTGGGGGTTGACATTGCTCCCCGCGCTTACTACACTCCTGCTGCTGGTTCCTACTACCAGCCAACCCCGCCCCTCTTTGTTATACCCACCCGCGCGTGCCCCGTGTGGGTATCTCATTGTGTGGGTGAACATTGTAGCGCACTTATGCTGGGGCTGACATCGTGCCCAATGTGCGTCCTGACCCCTCTTGCTGCTCTGAACTACCTCTTCACCACTTCCCACCCCAGGCGCGCTACCCCTCTCCCTGTTGTCGCTACCGATCCTCCCACCAGCATCAGCAAGCACGGTGCCGAGCCTGCCGTCCACTTTGGCGACGGTGGGAGCAGGTGCCTCCTCGAGCATCCTGGCATGGAGCAAAACCACTCCTACACCGGCAGCCTCTGCCAATCCCCCTCCCTTCAGAATGGCCAGCAGCCTTCCACCAGTCCCTGTAAAAAGATCCAGGCAATGGAGTTCATGGAAATGCCGAGCTACTCCCAGATAACATTGCACTCACCGGACCACTCGAGGCGCTCCCTCAAGGCATCGGCAGCCAGCACGCAACCCAGAACATAGGGAGATCGGCTCCCTACACACGTGGACAGCCTCCTTTGCGACCTACCTGGCAGTGGTTTCTCAGGTCCGCCCAAACCGGGTGGTGGACATCCTGGCTTACATGCGGTTGATTATTAGGGGAAGCCTACCACCATGGAGGTAATGGCTGGCTTACTTATGACGCCATCTTTAGGCCCAACCAACAAGGTCTGCACACCCCGTGGAATGTCCTCGACCCATCACTGCACATGGCCTGCGTAGTGAGCCACCTCGGATCCCATTCTAGTTCTGCAACGAGACAGACCACCAGGTCCATGACTGCACACTTGCCCCACTCTCTCCGGCAACACGTGGACCACTACGGGACCGCAGAGCTCCCACATATCCAGGGCTGCTCTTTTTCGCAGGAAAAAAAGCTACCCTAGGTGGGATTCGAACCCAGGACCTCTAAAGATAAATTATACGTTTTAATGAGCCAGTAGGAAAATAGTGCAAAATAGAAAATTTAAACTCCCTATAAAGAAAGACTCGCTCACATTCTAGGCTCCAGTGCCATTAACAGAATAAGGGGGCTTCATAATTTCATTTACTGCACAGCTGTATGCACACAGTTAAACTGAAGTATTGTTTGTGACATGGCGAACCAAGAACTCATCCATTACTGGTGAACACACTAATAATATGCATACATGTACTACAACCATTTTATCCAAAACTTGTTTTTGCGTCTTTGCGAAAAGCATACATAATGGAGATTACCTGCAACAGATCACTCTCTTGGTAAGCAGTGTCTCATCGTAAGTGTGAGTAATTACTACAAATATTACCTGTATGGACTAGGATGGGAAATATACACACCATACTCATGTCCAGATCGAATATTGATGTACAGCACATTTAACACTTTGCATTTGTTGGTATGACATATGTAAGTATGTGAAACCTGAAACATGAAGTGTAAATGGTGATTATCCTACTCTCCCATGACTGCAATACATTGTTGCTATCTTATGCAAAATGGAGTCTGCACTTTTGCCAAGGTTGTTTTTCGTATTTTCTATGACTTTGCTGGTTTCTAGGTGTGGAATCGACGCACAAATACTGCTTGGGCTGCCCTGACTCTTACCGGTCATTCTGGCACTGTGCGATGTCTCCACTTACATGATAACCGATTGGTCAGTGGTTCATCTGACAGAACCATCAAGGTATATAAGACCATACATCATCGTAATAGATACAAACAACAGCAACATATGAAGTTGCAAGAAGTGTACAACACCAAAGTTGTATTGTATAACTCCTTTAACAATACCCACTTACTGCACACATTGCATATCTCCTTAGGTATCAAAATCAAGAGTCCTTAAGACTCATGTGGGAAAAGGAGCACGGATAGTGTATGAACAACATTTTGTACATCCTATTAGCACCTGTTGTAGGTGTTTGCATAGAGGCTAAAACATCTGTTTCTTTTGCTCAGCCATACTCATGCCATGCGCATAAAAGGACTTTCAGCAAATGAATTAGACTTTGGTGTTTCGAACTACTTGACTCTATAGGAGCATTCTTTAGACAATTAACACATAATACTAACTAATTTTGAAGCTATCCTCACTTGCTATGAAATAATGTGCAGAGGATCCTGTGGCATGATGTTACGGACATCACGTCGTCCTGTATCTCCCGAGCACCCAGATACAGATCTGAAACTCACCGGTTTTTCTGTAGCATTGCCTTCTCTCTGGCTGGAAATAAAGGTCGCAGCCTTTCACTCAGCAGCGTTCAAAGAAACACACATTTCACAGGTGTGTACCAGAGCCTCGAACAATTGATCTTGTTTCGTCTTCTGGAAAAAATCGGCGTAACAGATTTTGTACTCACCAGCCATTATTTAATGTGACATGAATTGATAAAATTTATCAGCATAGATTTGTATTATGTGGATAGTATGAATGACGTAATACAAGTTCCGATCTCAATGACGTCCAAAGTACCGTATATTTTTACTGAGAGTGCATATTTGAGGGACCACGTACGTAGGTTTACACAGCATTGGATGTGACGGTTTTGAGGATTTAACTGTATTCAATTCTTTATTGCTAAAGGTTTTGTTCTTGTTTGCCCCTCTTTAAGCATACACTTTTGGTCTCCTACTTTTTAAACTACTGTGTGTGCTTCAAGAATTACAGTATTTTAGTTCGTCTGTCTTTTTCCAATTTTACCACGTGCAACAAGTAGCAAGGCAACAAACGAGTGGTTCCAACAGATTCACTACTACGTAAAAGCATTGCGTTTGAAGGTTTAGGCGTGGAACAAAGTGAACAAGCCAATATTATACCAATGAAATCTTCCTGTTCTGTGCAGAGTAGAAGCATGAGGAGTTACACAAATGGCAAGTATAGGTTCTACCTACAAACACTACCTTTATAGATGCAGCTGGCCCATATGAGACCATGTGGTACCCAATTGGTACATCATTAAAATATACATTGGTTCTGTTTTAGGTTTGGGACTTATCGACAGACAATGTTAATTGGGTTGGAGCAACTTGTAGGATCACCATGGTTGGACATATGCACACAGTCAGATGTTTGCAGGTAAATGTATTCATAGCATTAAAAGACCTTTGCTTTCCAAGTTAAAGCAATACTGATCAGAGAATCTGGAGGTCAAGAAAACTATGTAGCTTGTTGTGTTGGCATGGCTTACCACAAAAACAATAACTAAACAAATTGTGATTTTTGAACAATTTCTTGGTTATGTTGATTCATGAGCCAGATTTGGTTTGTACAGTATCAGCCAATATTATGCGATTGCAACAACTCGGTGACATGTCCTTGCATCTTTACTAACTTTTCTCTGCTTATGTCATGCACATTTTTGTGTTGCACTGTGTTCTACTAAAGCAATTATGCTTACGTTACAGGCGGACCATGAAAAAGTTATCAGTGGATCTTATGACAGCACGCTCAAAGTGTGGGACCTTAGTACTGGAGAATGCTTACTTACTCTGAGGTATATGCTGACCAAATGCAGTAATTGTGCATTTATCACAAGGAAAAGATACATGACCAAACATCTGACAATTGACTTCTTCCAGTGCCATGTTCACTTAGCTATGAGAACTGAACATAGCTAGTTTGTCTAAGCAGGCATGCACAGTACTATGCAGTTGTGCTCGGGACTGCATGTGTCAAGACAGAACTCATGCACTACGTAAACAACGCACAAATGATTACACTTGTAGTACAATGGGGATGCATGTCAAAGTGCCGTTCGTGCATTGCTAATGATTGGACAACTGTTTCAATTTTTACGCCAAAACAGCAAGGTAAGTGCTTGGCAAGTAGCAGGAGTAATTTTGCAGCTCTCTAGACTACCTCCGCCTCCACTAAGCACGGAAAAGGGAGTAGTGAACACTACGTTTAGAATGGTCTCTACTGTCAGTCCTCCTTGCCTGCTTGACTTTTAAAGTGTACTTGTGTTCGTGTGCCGTCAGCAGTAGCTATTGTAAGTGGAAAGACTACTAACCAGTAGTTAAAACACTGTTTACGCTCGTATACTACAGAAATTCTTGAAAGTCGGATGTGGTCTTGAGGCTATGCCTCCACATCCTCTAGTTTCCATTCTGTGTGTTAGTGTCGTAATATTTTTGTTCTCTCACGCATGGTATTTTCGTAAGCCAATTTCGTTTTATAAGATATGCACCTTCTACTCTTCACCATTAAATTTTAGACATGTAGAAATTTTATCTTTCAATGATTCCATTTCTCTGAGCATGGTGATGATAACTTGCTATTGTCTGGTAATAACCATAGTTATAGGCATTATTATTATTAGCATAATTATTATGAGGATTCTATTTTGAGCGACTATACATAGCAAACAAAAATTATCTAGACAGGACGTTTCAGCTCGAAAGCCTTCGTCAGCTGTATAACTGAGGGAAGTGGAGAGTGCTGTTTTATAGTTATGAAAATGAGTGGTGGGAAACCGCATGCGTAATGGGTAAACATTGTTCAATACAGCTGCAGGCTGGTAGTCACAGTTTACTCAAAGTCAACCCACTTTTGTGATATGGCCATACCACTGAGCGGCAATTCACTATGGAGGTAGAGTATCGCATTTCTGGATGAGAAGAGAAGGATGAAAATTAAGTACATCTGTCTAAGAACATGCATACTGACAGATATCTAAACTTCCGCTCACACCACCACCCCAGGACATTCTCTGGTGCGGTGAAGAGCCTGAAACATAGGGCTATTAATATCTGCCAACCAGAGAAACAAGAAGAGGAACTACAACACCTCAAGGATACCTTTCATAGGAATGGTTATCCATCCAGAGTGATTGACCCAATAATGAAGAAAAGCCACTCCGCCCCAAAATCCAAGGGATAGAGAAGATGAGGATAATGAATAGAAACAAATACTCTATTTACCCTACGTAAAAGGTCTTTCAGAGAGGATTGAGAAAGAACGCAGAACCTTAGAGAATAGCAAGCTGAAGCTGGCCTTTCGACCGATCAGAACAATTAGGCAGACACTGGTACGAGTCAAGAGCAAGATCCTCCCCGAAAACAAGCAAGGTGTTGTGTATAAGATCCATTTGGTGAGTGTGAACAAGTATAATATGTTGGCGAAACAGGCAGAAGCCTGAAGGTTCGGATCTCTGAAAACAAACAAGCTGTGAAACGGGGTGACATGAATAACGGCATCGCGGTACACGTAAAAAAAGGGTCATACCATCAACTTGGAGGAAGAAGCCAGCATCAAGACCACAGAGACGGGTTACTGGAAGAGGAGGGTACAGGAAGCCATTAGAATCCAGAACAAATCAACCCGATGAACTTGGACTGTGGGCTGACTTTGAGGAATCTTTGCGCATGTGCTAATGTTATGCTTTTTATTTTGTGGAGCCATTGTGAATGTTTGCCGTGATTGACTCAGTTAAAACAAGCCCTAGAGTCATACATGCACAGGTCGTCTTAACTTTCTACAAATGGTTACGTGACCTCTACATACTCAACAAAAAGGTGCATGTAATGTTCTTTGCACTTGTAGCACTTATGTTTAGCAAAAACTATTTGTACTGCAACTTAGGTCAAACTCCAGAAATCAAAACAAGTCAAGAACTAAACGCATATCAAGGCCAACATGAGAGACCTACTAAAAATATTGGTGAATGAATTTGATCATGGATATCAAGTCCTGTTGCTGTCAAGTGACAAAAACGGCTGCTGAGTAGAGGAATTTCATAATTTTAGCTAGAAAGATTGTTTAGCAGTTATGAGCTGGTAATTAATTTTTAACTACAGTTTTATACTAGAGTTAATTGGTTTACTTTGGTCTGTAGGCATTCTACAGCATACGTAGGCCCAAGTGGTGATATTCACACGGCTGGCTGCTAGCGGTGGAAGCCTAGAGCAGCAGCAACACCAATAATAATACTCAGGTGGCTACCATAGAGCAGCAACATCAAATCTGTCTCTTTTTGACATAAATAAATGTTTCGGGTAACTAGGCTCTCAATTCTCTCCAGTACTTTTGTGGAGGAAATAACTATCAATGTTGTATAAGTATAAACCACGTACCTATATCACGTCCTCTGTGATCGTGACATAGCTAATTTTTTCATACTGCGTGACAGACATGTATATGAGAGTATTTCATGCTGGTGTAGTAGAAAATGCTGTTTTCTATAGAGTTGTGCTTTAAAAAAGCCTCCAGAAAGCAATTATGCTTAGTTCGATTTTAGAGTGCCCAATCATAATGTGTATGGCTAGTTCTGCAACGGAGATCGTGTTCAATAAGGTCTATGACAGAATGCAGAATGGCAATTCCTTTGTCAAGTGGGTCCAGTGTGCAAAGAGTTCCAGTGTTGCGGGTCCACCAACATCGTTTTCCAAGGTCAAGTGTTGCTGGTGCAGACCACTCCTCTTCTTCATAGAGTAGTAGCGTTGGTCATTTCAAAAGGCAATTAGATGAAAATGGCAAAAAGCACGTGGCTACAGAGTAGTGCTGTGTACGAAGTAGGTGAGGAGTTTCCGAGAAAGAGCCATCTAGTAGTCACTGGTTCAACATAATCCGCGTAAAGGATCATAAAATGTTGCTGCTGTGTACGAAGTAGGTGAGGAGTTTCCGAGAAAGAGCCATCTAGTAGTCACTGGTTCAACATAATCCGCGTAAAGGATCATAAAATGTTGCGCTCGTTTATGTTGAACTGGATATTTCGTCACTACTAGCAGAGAGCCAAGAAACCCATGAGTCTTAAAAAGCTTTTAGGTTGGCTGGCAGATGTTTTAGTGGGGGTGGTGATGTACAATGCCTGTGGGAGAGGGGCACAATAGAATCAGGACGCACACCGCTGAGGATTGATTCTATGGCACTCCTGACCCTACAATCTTTAAGGCCCCTTTTAATCTTAAGAGGTGCAACTAATTTTTTTACTGCGATATGTAGCGCTGTTACGAGCTACAAGCAACGCAATGTGATGCTAACCGACTTCGAGCAACAGGCAGTTTCTGAAGTTTTAGCCAACTGAAGGTTGGTTGCAGCAGTAAGAAGCAGCGAAGTTAGTGTCTACAGAGCCGCCAACATGTCCTGTCTCTTAGCCATTAATTTTGAATGCACATGTTGTTCTGCAGGATGCCATACGCAGATCATCAGTTCAATAAACCGAAATGCTGGCTTTAGTAACTGTACATTTTTGTGTGTATTACTGTAGCGTTGGTAAAGTGGTTGCCCTATTACCCAATGACTGTTAAGCAACATGCCATGGAAGTTGTGATGCTGTTCTTTGTCTCCCCTAATAGATGCATTTCATGTTAATAAAATCACAGCATTCTGGTGTAATGAGTGTTATCAATGCAGAGGTCATGGTGATGCTGTTCTATGTCTCCATTTCCACGAGAATAAACTCGTGTCTGGTTCTAAAGATACAACCATCAAGGTTTGTGTTTTGTCCAAATAGAATTGAAGTGAAGTTCTATGCACTCCGACACGGGCTTCCCATGGGAAAGCAAAATCAGGGCCGCAATTGAATAATGGTTAAAATCTCTTTTAGCTTGTCACTTTCTCGTGCCATTCACTTATAGTACATTACCAAAGGCAGTGCCACAGGGAACCAAGGAGCACACGTTCTCCTACTCTGTCTTTTTGAACTATGTAGCTTTCAATCACCTTCTCATCGGTTTAGCCATGTGGAGAGGCGTGGCAGTTGCCTACTGAACTGGCGGTTCCATTCACGTGTATGTGGTAGCTATCTCAGTATCTACTTAATTTGGTGTTGCGCATATTTGGTGGTTTTGAATTACCCTCAGTCTGCGAGGTCCTATGAGGGACATTAGTGATGTGTTTCTCGCTGTGCCATTGGTGTTGCCTTGTATGCACACTTTTGAGCCCAGCCTGCTGACTGGTCCTGTTAGCGCAGTGTAGAGAGCACTTGTCTAACAATGTTGTGGGTCAAGTCTTTGCGAGATAGTGTGTCTTAGTGTTGGCACTTGCCTTGTGTTGATTTATGCAAACACAACAACACACTCCGACACCCGTACTAGGGTACAGTACTTGGTTTGTAAGTCTGTATCTTCTGCCTGTCTGTCATTTTGCCACCCAGGCAAAAAGTCCAGCCAACATGAAATACAGTGGGTCCTGTTTATGTCTGACATTCAAATTAAGAAAATGGTGAATATAGGGATGGTATAAAAGCAAGGAGCGCAAGACATGGATTACCTTGTGTATGTGATGCAGATAAATATACAATGGACACTCAAACGCACATTGTTTGCTTGTGAAATTTTACCTCTACACAGCCTATATTGTCGCCACTCTTACTCGTGACAGGAGTTTGTTTAGTGAAAGATTAAGTGTGAGGACATGAGAAAGTTGATTCTCTGGAGGGCTAAGAATGCAGGCATTGTAGTTGAGCGAACAGTCACAACTCAATAAACAAGGAAGTGTCAGAGAGAGCAACCCTAGATTACTGTCACATGGCTTCGGAATGAGTCAAGTTGCACATAATACAGTTTAAGAAAGCGTACTCATCCTTTACGACAATAAGGTTTGTGTGGAGGGAAATTCCTCGAGCAACCAATGTGAGTTGAGTATGGGTTTTATTATCCATTGTGCTACATACACAAGGTTCTTCCCTGTCATGTCTCCTTCTTTTTATACCATTCGTATAATTAAATTTCTCTAATTCGAGTATTTAATGCACATATATTAGTGGCCTTGTTGGTTCATATCCTCCGCCTGTTTGTTGTTATTCACATACTTCTTTCAACATAGTACATAAATGTACCAAAGTTTCAGATTACAGGGCCCAGCAGAGATTCGCGGAGGATTGCCCACGCACAGTTTTTCCACGCATGATCACGCATACTCATCTATCAACAATGACACCCGCGTTACACAAAACTAACTTAATTTGCATGATTGGTTACCGATTATGTGATTGAAGCCATGTTCTTAGGCAATGCTTATTGACATACTGGATCAGACTGATAGGTCAGAGAGTGGGTCTGATTGAAAATCTTACTGTATACGCATGATGCTGGATAGCCTGGGTCATCCCTATATACGAGTACACAGGTGCATATCATTTGCCCAGCATAACCATACTCAATGGCACACAGACACCCAATTAGCTAACAAGGAGTCTGTTTATTATAACGTACGTAATATTCAGGAAAAGGAAATCACTATAGAGGTTGAGTGCAGTTCTATCTGAAATTTAAAAGCACTAAGTGCAAACCCTTGGCGAACCTGCGCATGCAAAATAGCGCTAATTGAATGGCTGGGCTGGGCTATTAGCTATGCGTTTACACTCGTGGTCCTCCGTGCTACTAGCTCACGAGAGAGTCTGCTACACGTCAGTAGATTACCATGCGGGAGTCGATACACGACACCTTCGTTGTGACTTCTTGTGGCCTCAAGATACACGAGAGTGCGAACCCCGCTCGAGGGAAGCCTGTTCTAATTAGCATATTGACTTTTCGCTCGTGTTTCCGCCTACACTGCTCAAACACAGCAGTTTGAGAGAAAACCCTAACAAATTTTTCGACCTATACCCGACGCTGAGTACGTACCGTTTGTGGAGCGATTCAGGCTCGTGAAGTGAGATGTCGGGAACGGACAGACACACACGACAACTACCGTAACCCTCGCTGCGCATGTGTGCCGAGGGTTAATCATCTTTAAAGACTAAGTGGCCCTTCACAGTGTAAAGATGTTAAGTACCATCTACCTTGCCTCATTTACAACCAAATTCTGACAATGCTCAAGTCCTCCATGGGGATTGTAGCCGTCATTTTCACCTGCACAGCCAACCATTCGTGGCTTTGAAGTGCAGCTTGCCTAGAAGGGTAACCAAGTGGTTGGCTTTCTCTTCCAGCACTGCGGTGGTAACAAGCGTGTCTCTCGCTCAAGCATCAATGAGTCACTTGTAGAATGCTTGTTCTACGCCGTAGGCCTTGCTGGGTCGCTTTCGTTTTCAAAAATAGGATCAGTGCTTTTCCTGCTCTCTCGAAATGGTGTCTTTGGTCGCGTGATGACATTCAAAACACTTGTCTATATTAGTTTTGCACCAGCTTTTCTCGTGGACTAGTTAAACTTTCTGGTGAAGGGTCAGATCAGTGTGTTTTCATCCTGCCAAGCATCTCGTAGCCATGGTGGTCGAAGACTGAGTCACGGCCACGTGTCGAAGTGCAATTGCGCATGTCCAATATGACAATAAGCGGGGGTGTACCAGAGTGGCCAGTTATCTATATTGTAATAGTCAGGATATGGATGACATCATCCGTATTCTATAAACTTGAGTAAAATGTATGGGAAAGTATGAAAGCATAGCAAATGATTTCAGGTTTGCATCATAACAAACGATTAAGCGATATGATATTAAGTGGGACCCACTGTTCTGCAATGGCCAGTTTACACTGGACTTGTAGAGTAACAATGTAGTGCGAATACTTTTCCCACTATGCCAATGTAGTAGTTAGGAACCACGAGTACTATCGTTCAGCCAATTGTTCTGGCATCTTTATATGCACACACGTTTTTTTGTTTAATGTGATGACTTTAGTGCTTTTTCCTGCTTTGGCCATATTGATTATATGTAGGTGTGGCATCTTCCTGGAGGGTACTGCCAGTTGACTCTGCATGGCCATCAAGCCCCAGTGACCTGTGTACAATTTGATGACACAAGAGTTATAAGTGGAGCTGTTGATAGGCTTATTAAAATTTGGAGCCTTGAGACTGGCCAGGTAAGCTGCAGACATGACCTTGTATAACATTATACTTACCTGTTATAGTGTGTAAGAACAATTGATTGGATTCGCTCAGAAGGACACACAGGAGTAATACGGTAAGCCATTTCTACATACCATAATATTATGTTAATATAACGTTACAAAATAAATCTATTTTAAATGCATTTCAGCGAATCACGAAGCAGCCCGCTGTCTGGTTGCACAAGATGGTCCAGAGTCTCACCCACAGCTGCACTGTAAACTGCCATTATCTTGGACAAACCTTTCCCCTCTAGCTTGTTTCATAATGCAACATGATTTTCCTAGGTTTAGACAGAGGTAGAAGGACCTCAACCTTACTTGGTATATCATAGTACTTAGGGATGACACAGGTTGTCCTGTATTATGCCCATACTCGAGATTTTCATCTTTCGCTTTCAGTTTCAATCACATCCAACTTTTGACACATCAGACTGATCCGTAATGTCACAACATGTATCCAAGAAATGGCTTATATCACACAATCGGTAGTTGATATATCACTAAGTACGGTAGTACTTAGTATATAGGGATGACACAGGTTGTCCTGCATTATGCCCATACATTGGGATTTTCATGTTTCACTTTCTATTTCAATCAGATCCAATTTTTGACACATCAGACTAATTTGTATCGTCGCAAATAGCATGTATCCAAGAAATAGCTTATATCGCATAATCGGTACTTGATTTGTTCAAAACCTTTTCAATTTTCTTCTTCTTGTTGTTGTTGTTGTTGTTCAGTTTAGACAAGCGTATCTCAAAAACCAGGTAAAATATGGAGATTAAACTTTGCACAAAGATTGGAATCCATGACTGGTCGTGCTAGAGCATTTTTATTTCTTCGTAAACAATTTTGTTTACATGTAAATAACAACAAATAGCCCCAGGCAATACATTATTATAGAGGCCAATAAAGTGTGCTAACTGGGTAAAGCTAATACCCAGAGTCATAAAACTTTGTATACACATGCAACCCATCATTAGTACCGAAATGTAATAAAAACTTGTAAAATGTGTTTGTGCCCATAACTTGCTTATGGTGGGTCCTCTAACAATGAAACTTAGTACACTGATGTACCATGATGAGAGTTGATTGAAACAAAAGTTACAAGTTTGTAAACAACAACAAACAGCCCCAGGCAATAAAAACTTGTAAACATTTTATTGCCTATAACTTACTTATGGTGGGACGTCTAACAATGAAAATTGGTACACTGATGTTCCATGATAAGAGTTCATCGAAACAGAAATTACAAGATTGTAAACAACAACAAACAGCCTCAGGCAATAAAATGAAGTTTGTGCCCATAACTTACATCTTGTTGGTCCTCTAACTACGCAACTTGGTACACTGATTTACAATGATGAGAGTTCATCGAAACATAAATTACACAAGTTTGTAAACAACAACAAACAGCCTCAGGCAATAAATAGTTGTGTAAATGATGTTTGTGCCTGTAACTTGCTTACTGTGGGTCCTCTAACAATGAAACTTGGTACACTGATGTACTATGATAAGAGTTCATTGAAACATGAATTACAAGTTTGTAAACAACAACAAACAGCCTCAGGCAATCATGTGCTGTTTACAACATCAAACCGCCTCAGGCAATTAAGTGCTGCTTACAACATCAAACAGCCTCAGGCAATTAAGTGCTGTTTACAACGTCAAACAGCCTCAGGCAATTGAGTGCTGTTTTTCCTATAACTTTGTACACTTATCTACTTTGGAAGTGACATAAAAACGTAGATGACAACTAACAGAGCGAGGCAATAAATACATGTTACTTTTTATATGGGCATTATGCCCCAAAGCATGTGCATGCCATAAAAACGGGAAAGGAGACAAGTAAATTTAAAAATTCTGCGAATTAAAAAGGTGTGGAATATAGGGATGCCATAAAAAGCAAGGAGACAAGACAGGGATGACCTGGGCATGTGATGCAGTAGTACAATGGGATGATGGTTACATCTTCAAACTGACATTACTTGCTCATGTAAATTTTACTCCACACAAGCCCTATATTGTCCAAAAGCACGAGTGATCTCTATCGTATGATGTGCAGCTATGACCCGTTTCCTCCTATGCACGTAAGACTGGTAGCAAATGCCCTCTCTGACAGGTCTCCAGTTTTGAATTGTGACTGTGTTTACTTCACAATGTTCACTCAACTAACCGGTTATACAATGCTGCTTTCCCTACAGAATTCGTTTGCCAGTCTTCAGACTACATATTCAAATCTCATGTCATGAGTAAGAGTGGCGACAGTATAGGGCTTGTGTGGAGTAAAATTTACATGAGTAAGAAATGTCGGTTTGAAGATGTAACCATCATCCCATTGTACTACTGCATCACATGCCCAGGTCATCCCTGTCTTGTCTCCTTGCTTTTTATGGCATCCCTATATTGCACACCTTTTTAATTCGCAGAATTTTTGATTTACTTGTATGAATGATGGTGTATGTGTATATAGCTAACTCTTCCAGCCCCCCTTCTTTTTTTCTGACGTAACATCCCTACATTACCTTTTTCATTTTCTGTTCCAAACAGGCTTAAAATTAACTGTGTAGTTTTGACGTATTGACAAATAACTCTTGCAGAAACTGACATCGATTTCAATGTTTGTGCAAAGTTTAATCCCCCTTTTTAGGCTTGTGGGGCTGTTTTACCAGTACACAATCCAGTCTCTTTGAAATGGCTGGTTTCACAAAATCACATGCAGCTAGAGAAAAAAAAGGATAGCATCATCCAATATTTTCGCGTTAACACCGTACGCACTCTTCACTGCTAGTTCGGGATGGGAACTGGCATAAACCAATGGGAAATGACATTTTTGGTGATTAGGCCACAGTATACAGATTAATTGCAGGTGTGATTTAGCACCAACTCTCTTTGCAGCTGAGGTGTGGTCTAGAACCCACTTACATGACGGTTTGCCCTGCACAACTCCTCGCGTGCGGGTCTCGCTTGCGAGAGTACAATACCTTCACTTCTCTGCAGAGGTCTTTAGAGCAGTGTATAGGATATTTTATTTTTCACAACTACACACACGGATGTTAACGTTTTTGAAAGGGTTTAGAACGTACGGTATATGAAGGGTCCCCGTCGCATACAACAAAAATGTGCATTCCGACTACTAGGTTCCTCTCTCTTCGCTCGCCAATAATTGTTAGCTAGTTTCTTTCCCCTTCGTTTAATTTACTGAACATGCCATGTATTGTTTTGCAGGAGATCCAATGTGCGATGTTATCCCTACGCCTGTTGTTGTGGAGTATGCTTTTCAATACCCGGATATGGAGAAATGTCCTCAGAGTATGATGGACATTAATCAATTCGATCCGATAAGTGTTACAATTCCAACAAACGGTACTGCACAGAATGTACTGGAAGCATCAGTTGGTGTTGGCACAGCATATCGCTTTACAGCAACTTACTTTGGATCCACCTGGCTACTTTATTAGATGCAATAAATGGTATACATCTTCAGACAATCCCTGTTACTGGTCTTCTATTACAAGCACCGGGACTTCCAAATCCAGTGCTCTCCAATCTTGGTGTGTCCAACTTCATCATTCCTACAAGTGGTTACTCCATATTTATGCGTTACGAAGAATTTAAGGAGAACATGATTCTGAAGCTCCTGCGAACAACACCAGTATGTTGAAATACACCGTACATTCTGACACTATTTCATGTAGAGTGAAGGAAAGCCAGATAAGCATGTACTGTATGCTGCTAGCTATCTCTATTTTGGGATGGTAGGTACCTGTTTTTTCCAAAAAAAGCAATCTCTGGGTAATGTACGGTAATGTGTTCAGTGTGTGTGTAGCTTGTTCGCACCAGCCCCGGTAGGTGCGGCATGGTCAAAAGTGTGAACGGTAAGGGATGCCTGTGCTTCGTAGAGGGGTGGGTCAGTGCTGGCAAAGAGTTTTGGACATATCCTAATGTTGTATAGTTACATTATCTTGATATTTTATAAACAACATGTATCCTGAGAAAACCGGTGCAAATGGTATACGTGGACCCCTTTCTCTTCGATGGTCTGGCCATGCAAAAACCTTTGTTAGCTGAGCACAAAAAAACGCACACGTACTTCTTGCGCTTCGGCGTAGGTGTATGTTGTGACTCACTCTCTTCCTTAGCTTCGGGCGATTCGCGCTCATAGCCAGTAGACGACGACGTGCCAGCAGACGTTCCGCTTCGCTTCTGTCATCTCCGACATGATGTAAGTCTCGCGGGAACGGGGCCAGACATTCCGCGGGGAGAGGGAAGGGAACCTTTCCCCTTGGCCCCGCGTACTACTCTACTCCCCGCGTACCTCCTGCGCACTCGAGCGTGAAAAATCCGAGCAAAGTACACGTTCCGTCGACACATACTTAAGGATCGAAAATCCAAGTAGTCAGACTAAATCCGAACTTTGGCAGCATTGGGTGGGGGTCTTTGACGGAACGTACCCACCGTGCCCTGGGCTCGAGGAGGTTAATAGGGTCAGATTATGTGCACCATGGAGTGAGCATTTCTGTTTTCACCTGCGATGTGTGGAAATAGTCAGTTTTAAGTAATTTTTAATGCATACTGCTACTCGCTGAAACCTAAAAAGGCTATGTTCTACGTGAGATAGATGAGAAAACTGCAGTCCCAGTACTTCGTTATATTAATATTATGCAACTAAGGCCATGAAATGCAGCAAGAAAAAAAACTTTTCTGCGAATTATAAGTGTGGAATATGGGGATGCCAGGAGACAAGACTGGGATGACAAGGGCAATGTGATGCAGAGTACAATGGGATGATTTACATCTTCAAACTGACATTTGTTGCTCATGTAATTTTATAGTCCACAACAAGCCCTATAATTATTGTCGCCCACTCTTACTCATGACATGAGTTTTGATAATGGAATGTGAAAAACCGGCAAACGAATTAATGTCGAAAGCAGCATGTCAAACCGGTTAGTTGAGCAAACAACACTGTCACGATTCAATTTGAGGACCTGTCAGAGAGGCATTTGCTACTACAAGTCTTATATACATGCATAGGAAAACGAGTCATATGTAGCTGCACATCATCTACCGTGGAGATCACTCGTGCTTTGCGACACATATAGGCTTGTGTGGAGTAAAATTTACATGAACAAGAAATGTCAGTTTGAAGATGTAACAATCACCCCATTGTACTCTGCATG